GGTTGTTTTCCAACCAAGGGCTGATTTGCATTGATGGGTTCCCCCACCCCAATTTTTTTTTAAAAATAACCTAAGAAAGATCTCCAAGATCTGTGGGTGCCGGGGGGGGGGGGGGAATTCTGTCGCTGTAATCTGGACCTTCAAGGGGGGGAACAGCAACAACAAAATCACAGTATTTACGTTTGTGAACACTCACAACTTCTGTTCACGGCAATGACATTTAATTGATGTATTGCTATCAACAACAATAAAGACCAATTCTTCTCTCCCTGCAAACACCACTCTGCCGCCGCTCCCCCCCCATATCTCCGGCCCCCAGCAAAGGGGAAGAAAACAAACAATAAATAATCAAATGACCCTAAACTAAACACTAAGCGTCTGTTTTTACAATGGCGAGGGAGCAGAGAAACGAAAAAGAAAAGTTATTAAACTTTATCTCTCCAAATTAGTCTTTCGCCAAACCCTTGTTGTTGTTTTTTAATTGCAGGCTCACGACGGGCACGTACAGACACCAAATGCATAGCACTATGGGAAAGTGCTTTAAAACAACCCAATTTAATCAACAAATATATAATGAAATTGTAAATGCGAATAATTTTCAGACAGTAACTGGATTTAAAGGCGTAGGGAGCTAATCGAGTGATTGATATAATTCTAAATGCAGACATTCTCGTGAGTAGGGCTTATGTGGGTGTTATATGCAGATACGTGTATCAGTATGTATACATATATCATGTAAGTTTCTATATGGTTATATTCGGTATATTCCCCAGTGTTTGAGGGTAAGGAGGCTGACACCTACCACTGAATATATCCATCTCTGCCGAAAGATCTCTTTAAATATTCAGTGAAAAATAATGGCATCTGAAATACCACCTATAGCAACATTATTATCTTCATTCTTCAACATCATCCCCACTGACAGCTTCGTTTGTCTTTTTATCAAAATCTACTGTACCAAATACTGCGGGGAGAGGAAAGGGGTGGGGGGAGACCCATCCTATACAGAAGAGAAAAGCACGTTCAGTGTCCGGTTTGCTAAAGCTGACTAAATATTTGGTTGGCACTTGGGGGAGAGAGGGGGTTACTGATGTTTTGTCACCCACCTTGGTAAACATTTTAAAGTCTAGTTCGTTTAATAATAGGGAGAAGAAAATCCGAGTGAGCCGGTTCCTCGATTGGAGAGAGAGATTCTCGCTCTCTAGGTTTCACCGGCTCATTTGAAATTGAAATGAGTTGTATCTGATCAGCCTCTTGCTTTTACAGAGTTTGTTAATATTGATACCGGGGGAAAGGAGTAGTTTCAATCACAGAGTAAATAATCCAGAGGGGAGGGTGGGAGGAGGGTGCTGTGAATGGCCCAGAAACAGAAACTGACTACAGCAGCAGCTCGCTCGCTCGCTCGTCTTCAGACCGAGATAACCCTGCACATCAACTTTTCGTATACAGTACGGAGGAATTTGACGTGCAGAGAGGAACGAGGAATACAAAGGGCTCCATAGCTACCTATAAACCCAACATGCTCGGTCCGCGTTGTACTGTAGGTGCATTTGTGGGGGTGCAATGTATCAATCCTGGGGCTGGCTAGACCCTTCCTAACTTGGGAACGGAACTTTTTATTCCGCGATGATGATGCCATGGGTTGACGATTGCATGCGGGCTGCCCGAGCGCCATTTGAGCAGGATGTTTTCAATTGCTACCCGTCCAGCAGACACCACGGATGGGGCTAATCTATTGTTACAACCTGCGGGCGGGCGGGCATATTAAGGAGGCAGACAGACACACGAATGTCCATCCACCGGGGGGGGGGGGTCCATTCTTAAACGTGTTGGGCCACCAGAAGCGCTGCTCTGTCGTGAGCCCAGTTCGGACTCCCGGAGTTCAAAGTACGCCTCCGGAGTTAGAAGACACACACCCTGCACAGCTGCCTACCCCGGAGCCCGTCTCGCTGGCGACCCGCGTCTGGCCCCACACCGAGGCGGGCGAGGCACCGACCTCCCGGGGCTCTGGCGGGGAGGCTGCGCCCAGCAGCGGGGCTCGCGTGCCCAGGCTGCAGGCGGCTGCCCGGGAGCTGGGGCTGGAAGCCCGGCGCGGCTCAGCCTCGGACTCTCGGCAGCCCGAGAAGAAAACGAAAGTCAGGAGTGAGTTCGCTTCGGGCTGGGGGGTGTGTGTGTGTGTGGGGGGGTGTCCATCCGAATTCACAGCCCCCCGCCAGACAACCCCGTGGGGAGGGGGCAGAGCCGACGCGGCCCCGTCCCCTCCGGACTCCGCCCCCCTGTGCCCCGGACTCCGCCGGGGAGATGAATCGGCGGGTTTCCGCCGGCCGCCGGCTCCGGCCGCCTTCTCCCGGAGATTGACGTCGGCCTCCGCCAACCGCCGCCAGGGGCGGAGCCGGCCCCGGCCGGGCTCGTGACGTAGCGGGCACAAACTTTGCAGTAATTGTCCTGGGAAACGTGTGCGGTGGCCACGAGCCCGTCGGCCGCTGAACCGACCCCCCCCCGCCCCATTGCCGGCATCTCCGCCCCCCCGGCCCCCCCTCCCGAGGAGCGGCTGGAAGGTGCATCTGGGATGGGGGCCGAGGTTAAAACAAGACACAAAACTTGGCCGCGGAGCGGGGCTGGGACGGTCCCCGGCAGAGGCGGTGGCGCTGACGGAGAGCGGGGCAAGGTAGCTGGGGGAAAGCCCGGCCTGCCCGCCCGGCCCAACACACCCACACCCCCCGGCCCCGCTGTCCCTGGTGCACTGGCAGAGACCGAGAGCTGCCCCGCAGCTGGGCGATCCGCTCCTGGGGGGAGAGGGGTCCTTTCTCTCGCTGCCTGGGCTCCTTGGGGGAGCGACCAGCCCTGACTCTTGCTGCCGGTGCGTTCGGGGAAGACGTGATTTCATTTCTCCTCCTGGCCCCCTTTGTAACGAGAAACAAAAACAACCCGCAGCCCGGGAGCTTGGGACAGCAGCGGGGGGGGCGGGCAGAGGCTTTCGACACATTCCTATAGTAACAGGGATGGCGTGAAACAGTCCCAGCTGGTTGCTAAGCGGGTTAAACTGTATCCAAACAGCTTTGGGGAAAGCCAGCCCCCTCCCCTGCCACATGGATCGACTCATTGGGTGGGAGCGGCGGAGAGACAAGGGTCTCCAGCAAATCAGCGCCTAATTGATTAAGGCGAGCGGGTTTGAATAGAGCTGGCCATGTGCCAATCGCCTTTCAAAGAGCCCCTCTATGATTAATCGCAATGCATTATTGATAATCATAATTATAGCAGGACACATGCGCGGTGCGGCGTGGCTTGGGGAGGGGGGAGGCTCGATTTCCGTAATTTTGAGAAGATTTTTTTTTAGTAATTTTTTATTCTGCCCCAGCTGATGTTTGAGCCAGCATGTCGCGGAGGAAGCAGGCGAAGCCTCAGCATTTCCAGTCCGACCCCGAGCTGGCCTTATTATCCCAGCGAAATGGTGAGTTCTTCCCATCTCTCTCTCTCGCACGCATTTTAACACAAACACGCACCCGCAAAATAGATCAACTTACCTTAGAGACTGCTAGGAAACTGCACCGGGAGAGGGGAGAGAGCGCTGCAGCTGCCGGAGTTTTTTGGTTGTATTTTTTTTTTAAATTACTATTTTTGCCCTGGTTGAGGATGGGTTGGTATGATTTTATTAACCTTCTGTTTCCTGTGTGTGTTGCATTTTTGTGTGTGTGTGTGTGTCTCTCTCTCCTCCTTCCCCCCCCCCCTTTTTTTGATGATCTGGCAGTCTGACCCCAGAAGAGATGGATTTCTCCCCCACACCCCCTCTGTAGCCCACACCCCGGAGGCTGGTGAGGAGCGGGACAGAAGTCAGGTTTGGGTTGGGGTGTGTGTTTTCTAAGGATGCACCGACCTGACCGCACTTACTTTCTCTCTGTCTCCCCTCCTCTCCCATGAAAAGGGAAAAAACCCCTTTCCTACTTTTTTCTGCGTGCCCCTTTTCCCCCATGGAGTCCCGGTATGGCTGGGAAACCTGCGCTGCCAGGCAGCCCTCGCCTCTGGAGCATTTGAAACCCCTCTTTTAAAGGGGGGAAAAGTTTGCGTGCTGGAGATAAAAGTCTTTCTCGCACACTGACGCGCTGGCTGAGCTCCCTCCCTGCCCCTGGTAACTTTTCTCCCTCTTCGCTTTGGCTGCCTGGCATCTGCGGGATCCGGGCTCGCAGCGGCTCCGGCGAGGGCGGCTTTGCGGCTGGCCTTTAGTTGTGGGGTGGCTGCTTGTTTCCTTTCTTCCTTTGGGGCTTGCTTTTTTTTTTTTTTAAGTGTGAAGCCGGTAAGGGAGGAACCAGGGTGGCTGGCTCTGGAGAGCCTGTGATTTTTTTTTAAAGGGGGGGTCCAGAAGCCCTGCGTTGGTGCTGGGAAAGGCAGTTTTATTGAAGCTGGGGGGGGGTGCTTGTACCTGTGTCTGCTTGCACTTTATAAACCGGCTGAGTAGGGGGGGGTGTGGTTGGGGGCCGGGGGCAAGTGGTCTGGGGAAACTCCAAGTAAGAAAGTGGGCGATGGGGAAGCGCCTGGCTGATCACTGAGGCTCGAGGGCCCGGGGTGGAGGTGGCGGAGGCTCTCCGTGTCCCAAAGGCAGGCCCGCTCCCCTGCCCTGCCCTGCCCAGCGCACCTCGGCGGGTGCGTTCGTTTCAGAGCCGGAGGCGAGGGAGCCCGAGGAAGGATGAGCCGCCCGAGGGCACGGGAGGGGAATCCTGCCCCCCGTTTGGCTCCCTCTGGATCTTCTCCCCGGCCGGGCAGTTCTGCTCCTGCCGACCAGCGGGACTCACACCTTGGGGGGCCGCTTGGGGCAGATTTTGAAATGGGAAAGGGGGGGCCATAAATAAACAGGCCATTCAGGAAGTTACATGAAAACTGTTACCGGGTGTCCGTTCGAGAGGCTGGCTGTAGATGTGGATAATGCCAGGCGAGGGAGGACGAGATGGAAAGTTGGAAGGGGGGGGGGGGGGGTCCTTGCATTTCTGCAAGGCACTTCCTGACGCTCTGGAAATTGTGGCCGGTTTTGGTGGGTAGGAGAGTGTTGCTGAGATCTCGGCAACAAAGTCTCTTGTTCGAAGAAGAGGAGGAAGAAGAAGCTGGAGGGGTCATCTCCGGAGCGATTCTCTCTGTCATGGGCTGGGGTGGGGGAGTAATGCGGTGCTCTGGGCAAATCGGAGGGGGATGAAGAGCGTTGGCCCTGAATAAATAGCTCGTTTCCTTTTCCTTGGCCGGGCTGGGGCTGGGCATGATGGCACTCCTCAGCCCCGAGGCTAGGCAGCACCTTTGGCTTCCAGAGCCGCTCGGGGTGTTGGGTTCCTTTTCGTTTCTGAGCAAAGCTCTAACTCTTCCCCCTTTTCAAACTCTCCACGCTTCTAACGCGAACGCATTGCTGGCTGTGGAGGGACTTGGCCAGAAGCTGACGTGCCAGTGTGCGATGTGAGTCATGGAGAGGAGCCCGGAGCTGCTCTCCCTCAGCCCCATTAACCCCCTGCTTTAGTCATTAAAGCAGCAGCCAGGAAACCCCCCCCCCTTTTCAGCACCATGCATATCAGGGTCGCCACTGAGGTAGGTTTGGGGACATGGGAGCTGTGATCTCTGAACTGTCCTTCTAATTCATTTTTCCATTTATCAGCTCCCCCTTTCCCTTCCCTCCCCACAAATTGCACGGGGGCTGCTGAGGAGTTTGGGAACAAATTTAACATAAGATACCAAGATCTGCAGAGTAAATCGGGTCTCCCTGGGAAAGCTGGAAGGATGCTATGGTAGTTTTGTTATCATTCAGTTTTTTTAAATATTGAGACACCTTTCTTGGCATCATCATTATCATAATAAATAAATAGCACCCATTTCTTGTAATTGTTTAAACGTTTCTGTGAAGTAGTTTGTTTTCTGGAAGGAAACGTTTGATTTTTTTTTGGGGTGGTGGTGGTGGTGAATTTTCATTTGTTTGGATGCATTGCTATTTTGCCACGGGGTTCAATTCATTTAATTTCACTTTAGGACATTCATTTTATCTTTAAATGGTTCTCCCCCAACCCCCCTTCAGCTTTGAAATTTCAAGCATGAGCTGGGGAAAGGTTAGGTTTTATTTATCCTTTCCCTGGTGTCCTAAAAAGAACTCTGAACTTTACAAAGTAAGCAGAGAGGGAAAGCATAGATGGAAGTTAAGTTATCTTGCTGGAGAATCAAAGGGCTATTTTTCACATCTTCCATTTGTTTAATTGCATCTCTTGATAAAGTCTTTATTTTTTTTTTAAATTTTTGCTAAAGGACACTGATAAAAGCACCTTCAAGTATCTTAATAAAATCGGCCTGCACTCCCTCCCCTTTTTTTCTTTCCTATTTTTAGTCTTTTGATCTGATTTTGCACATGTTTTCAGATGCAAGACACTGGGGGTGTGAGAAAGGAATGTTAACTGTGGAGCTTTCTTGCCTGTTACTAAATGATGTACTTAGAATAGTTGGATTTCGCCTAAAATGATGGCATTTAGATAATCTTTCATTTGGTTTTTGCTGGCTAGTAACTTAAGTTAACTAAGTAAATTACCTTTTTTTTTTTTTGTATCTATATATATTTTTTTAAAATGTTGGCTCATTCTCTAGAAAAAGCAGTAGGCTGTTAGAAACCCTGTTAGGAGCCTTTTCCCTCCTTTCAGTAGTAATCGTTTTAGGTTATGACTGTTTTACATGCTTGGACAATAAGTTTTGTCTACGTTGCCTGGAGGGTATGTTTTGTAATAGTGTTACAGGATTTAGAATGCTGTTGCAATATTCGTATAAAACTAACCCTGTTAGTGAATTAAAGGAATGCTTTATGCGTTTGAGAAGTTCTTAAATTTATAGTGGATACATTTGAGATAGGTGTAAAACATTTTTTCATGATATGCCTCAAAATTGCGAAAAACAAAACAGACAAAAATCCCCCATTCCTCTTTTTGATGCAGTGAATTCAGGCTTGTTAGCTCAGTTACAATTTCAGGAATCAGACAAGTTTGGCATCACTGCTATCTTAACAACACTTGCAATAATGTGAAATGAAGGAATATTTAAGAGAATAAATGAAAAATCATGTTTCTGTCGAATTTGTCTTATCTGTTTTGAGTTCTAGTTTAGGAAACTCTCTGACATGTATTCACAGTTAAGGGTCAATAGAAAGTAGTTTGAAAAGTAACTACATACATTTGATTTTCAGAACACTTTCTTTCAAAGTTTAGGGTAAATTTAGTACATCCTTATTCTGAAGATTAAATATTTCAAATGAATTTTGGTGCAGTCATTGAATAAGGAAGCTTGGCTTCATTATATCCTGTGAATGTGCACGCATAATACCTTTGTACTGGCATAAGCAGGACAGAAATCAGACTAATAGAAGCGACTTTTGACATAAATGATATTCAACAAGTAACTAATTACTGGTGGAAAATGTACAAAAGGCAGTTGGATTATTTCTTTCTGTTAATAACAGATTGTGTGATCTTTTCTTATTACATTTTGGGCTGCTTT